AATTCCAAACCTTGACACTCACATATCATCTAGATGGTCTCATTTGGTGATTTAGCCCCAAAAATGACACTCTAAGCTCATGACTCCCAAAATAACTCATAAAGCTCTAATGGTTTAGGTCTCTGGACCTCTTTGAGTCTTCATCCAAGGCATAAACTCAAGAAGGGACCAATTGCTCCACATAACCATCCTCAAAAGGGGTTAGAAAACCGAAAGTCTAAGAATCAACACCAGAACTGAAGAAGGTCTGAATAAATACCTCAAGATGAAGTCTCTGGACTCTGAAACCACTAGGATCGCACCTCCTTCAGTCTCCTCTTGCTCTTGATCACCTTCTTCTTGCTAAACCAAAGATAGAAAGATCAAATATAGCTTCTCCTTTTTCACAACGATTTAGCTCACTTAGGGTTCTCTCAAGGGACTGATAGCCACAATGGGAGACTATGAGTGCCCTTAAATAGGCTCCAAACCCGGGGGATTATGGTTTCATTAAACAGCGTGGGCTCACCGAGTCCACTAATGGACTCGCCGAGTCCAGTCGCGAACCCGAATGATAATCCGCGACCCTACTCGGCGAGTCTAAGCATCAACTCGCCGAGTTCCTTCACAAACTCCAAAAATAAAACATTAGAATAATATATACCTGAGAATCCGGATGTTACACAAAATTTCAAATATCATAACAAACTTATATAAAACTTGTAATTTTTGATAATATCCATTGTGAATGGATTAGCATAAACATTACACCAACTAAAGCAAGTTTTAAAACACCAAAACAATTTAGGGTAATGTTTCCAGTCCATTTCCAGCAGCATAACTCGAAAATCTGAACACTGTAGCATGTACTTGTCGAGTGCATGAACTGACTCGACGAGTTGCATGTATTTCTTCATGGACTCATCGAGTCTCCCCTTGAACTCGGTGAGTTCATGCGGGCAGTGAACAAAAAACTATGTTTTTCAGCTATTTTGCATCAAGTATCAAACAAACAAGCCTAGGCTCTGATACCACTGTTGGGTTTTGAGCATTCTAACACTCCTATGGTGTACATGTAACCCTAGAAACCTTGGATCTATGTTTGACTAAGATACATGCAAAATGATTTTCCAAAGTTCATAATCCTATGTAGCATACATGGGGATCTTTTATTCTAATAGTTAGTAAGAATTACATACCTCTTTGTAGCTTGGATTCCTTTTAAACCTTTTGAGCCTAGCACCTCAAGTGTGATGCCTCAAATGCTTCACACAACACCAAGTACACTTGGCATAAAATCTTAAGAGAATAAGAACACTTAGTATTTCATCTAGCCCTCTTTTGTTCACTCTAGTGGCCGAAAATGGTGAAGAATAGCTTCTTTATATAGTATGTTACAATTAGGGTTACACCATGTAAACCCTAATTGTCATGACCTTTCATTTCCATGACGCATGGGTTATGTAACCCCCATGGAGCATCCATGGAGCATCTTATGGGTTTAACCCAACTTAATAATCCATGGAGCCTTGGCCCACTATATAAGTTATGGATGATTGACATAATCAACCCATATATTTAATTAGCCTTCTTTTGATCACATAATTAATTCTAAATTAATTATGTATCAATACTAACTAAATATTATTATTCTTATTGTTAATATATTAGAACTTACAATATATTAATAAACCATAAGTATCTTATTTCTCTCATTTAGTCTATCCAAGTGCATGATGCCATACAACCCAAATGGACTATGTCGGGTTGGGTCAAGTACATACCAAATATAGTTATGGACTTAGACACTATAGCCAACAGAATCTGCCATGGGTAACCACAGAGGAGGTGATGCAAGTCAAAAAGAGAACAAATATCAAGGTGCTAGCCATAAGGTGGAGTTTGCAAATCAAACTCTAGACAAAGTTGTTATAAGTGACAAAGAGCACAGCAACAGTGAACAGCCTGGACAACATGAAACCCAAGAGCAACCTATGGGATCTTCATCTAGTGGTACTAATGTCAGGAAGGATTATGTGTCTGAATCTATAACAAAGAGAAGATCGAAGAGGGTTATTCGACAACTTGATAGATATGTGCTATGTGCGAATTCAGGTGAACTTGACTCAATTGCTTTGGGTTTAGTAGCTGGAGAAGACATTGACACTAAGGAACCTCAATCGTATAAAGAGGTTGTGGCAAGTAGAGTAGAAAATTATTGGTTGTTGGCCATGATTGAAGAAATGCGATCTTTAAAGAATAATGAAAAATGGGATCTTGTTCCATTACCAAAGGGAGCAAAACCAGTGGGATGCAAGTGGATCTTTAAGAAGAAGGAATGGATAATAGGAATTGAACTAGCTAGGTTCAAGGTAAGGTTGGTGGAAAAGGGTTCTCTTAAAAAGAATGAATTTATTATCACGATGTTTTCTCACCGATCGTGAAGCACAAGACAATTTGGGTTCTTTTGGCCATGGTATGTGTGTTTGATTTGGAGCTTGAACAACTTGATGTGAAAATTGTATTTCTTCATTGGAACTTAGAAGAGAAGATTTATATGTCCCAGCCGAAAAGGTTCCTTGATGCTAATAAGGATCATGTATGTTTGCTGAAGAAATCCCTGTACGGTTTGAATCAGCCTCCAAGACAATAGTACAAGAGATTTGATTCATTTACGATGTAGAATGGCTATACTCAGTTGTAGTTTGACAATTGTGTTTACTCAAAGGAATTCTCACCAGATTCCTACATATATATATATGTTGTAGAATGTTGATGATATGCTCATCACAGCTAAAGACATGGCTGGAATAAATGACTTGAAGGCGATCCTAAAGAAAGAGTTTGAGATGAAGGATATGGGGGCAACAAAGAAGATACTGGGGATGGAGATTAGATGGGATAGAAGATCAGGGCGGTTATATATTTCTCAAAAAAAGTACATTGAGAAAGTCCTGCAGTCCTTCAATTGTTATCAGTCAAGGCCAGTTGGAACGCCTTTGGCGGCTCACTTTAAACATGGTCCAAGCACTATACCCATGAATAATGAAGAGAGCAGGGTTCCATACTTAAGTGTTATTGGAAGTCTCATGTATGTTATGGTGTTTAGGAGATTTGATTTGGCTCATGAAGTTAGTGTGGTTAGCAGGTTTATGAGTAATCAAGGAAAGACTCAATACGAAGATGTAAAGCGGATCTTGCGATACTTGAAGGGAACAATGGATGTTTTCTTGGTGTATGGAGCAAATACGAAGAGTGACTTGGTGGGATATTTTGACTCTGATTATGGTGGTGACTTGTTGAAGCACAGATAACGGACGTGCTACATATTCATTTTATTCGGATGTGCTATCACCTCGAAGTCAACGTTACAAGATATCGTTGCTTTGTCCACAAATGAATCTGAGTACATGTCCATGAAGGAAGGAATAAAGGAGGAGATATCGTTGCAAGGGATTATTCAGAGTCTTGGTCTGAAGGTGGAGAAGCATGTCTTGTATTGTGACAGTCATAGTGCTTTAATTCTTGAAAAGAACCCTATGTATCATAAGAAGAAGAAACACATTGATGTCAGGCTGAATTTCATTCGGGATATTTTTGAAGAATAAAAGTTTTCAATACTGAAGATTAATACCAAGGTCAAAACATCAAATATGTTTAAAAGTCATTGCCCATGGAAAAGTTCAAGCTTTTCTTGGACTTGGTTGATGTTCGTAGGAGGTAGGTCCCTTTGGGGGACGAATGCCAAGAAGGGAGAGAAAGTTTTGTTCTAGGTGGAGTTCAAAGGATGATCAAGTCAAGGTGGACATTGTTAAATGTGACTCGAGCATTTGGATCAATGTTCATGGAACATTTTGAGCACTTGGAACTCAATGGAGCACTTGGAGTTCCTAGAGCATGTTACAATGGAACGAATCATATGAGAATGAATGGATCACCTGACAAAGGAAAGAATCAAGTGCGAAAGGAACGGATCATACAGAAGGGGGTTTGGAGCAACTAGAAGAGGTTTAGAGCACTTGTGAGTGATATGGAGCAACAAGGGAACCTTGTTGCACCATATGATAAAAGTATGGGCTAAGAGTGATGCTCTTGTGCCATGACACTCTCTCTCGTGCCATCGGGTACCTCTCTTGCGCCATGAGGTACTCTTGTTGGTCCATACATGGCCTTGTTGTGCCATGCATGTGCCCCATGTATGTGTGTATTGTGCCATGGTGATGTTGTTGCTCAAATCTTAATGTTCTTGCGCTACACTTGAAGCCTATTGCGCCATTTATATTCCTTGTTGCGCCATCTGGAGATGTTGTTGCATGATTGGAGCTACTGTTGCCCCCATGATGGTGCATGTTGGACCATCTTGGTCATTGATGATCCAAGTATGATATGAAGTCCTCTATGATTCTCAAGATCATTCAAGGATGCTCTGAAGTTGGTATTGCTTAAGGATTACACCATAATGTGTCACCGTGATGGTTGTTGCTTAATATATGTGTGTATATATGTATTTGGTATTTGGTCTATGTATACGTATAAAATATACATGTGTATATGTGTATTTGGTATTTGGTATGTCTATATGTATAAAATATATGTGTGTGTATATGTGTATTTGGTATTTGGTATTCGGTAATAGTCGTGTTATTTGTTTATATTTCTCATCTCTTTTATCAATACAATAACCTTTATTTCACATAGGTGCATTTACTTGTGTTATGATTGACAGTGTTACTTCAAAAAAACTAAAAAAAAAATGTATGCTATAATTCACATTATCATTTAAAGTACAATGTTATAATAGAAAAACTACATAACGAAGATGCTATAAATAATAAAAATGTTATATTTCACATTTAACGTACAATGATATAGTAGAAAAACAACTCCCACCTGTGTTTATATATATATATATATATATATATATATATATATATATATATATATAATATATATATATATATATATATATATTCCATCATAATTTTTCAAGATTCATTTTTTTGGTTGCATTAATTCATCTCATGGTTGTTGTGATGGGTCATGGAGGTGATGGTGGTGACGAACCATCACATCCATTCAGTGGAAATTTTGGTGTTCACCAGATTGATGGTAATTAATATTTATTCTAATGCATTATATTTCATATTGTATGTATATAAAAAAACCATCTTGACTAATATTTTTTTGCAGTTGTACCTCACAGACGAAGAGGCGTGGCGGTAAACAAGAAAATGTGTCGGCTATACGAAACAAATAGTAGATGGCCTCTAAAAATAATATTTGACAGAAATACCTTTGTGTCGATTGGGGATGTGTACAAATGCTTCATTCCGGAGGTTGGAAGTTATATTTGGCACGACATAGCTTTTGATACACCTGGAAATAAGTTCCCGAAACCAATCGGAATGGCATGTTTACGAATCTTTCTATAAATTATTAATAACGTTATATTTAACATGTTTAAAATGATCCCAATGCTAGAATTTTATGGGCATTACTAAACCATCGGATATGACAGCGGTATAGAGGCAGTAAAAATAGGGCAAAATATAAATTTATAGATATGCTAGAGGGTGCGGAGGTAGCAAGGGCTCGACCCCCCCCCCCCCCCCCCTCACCATGGTATGGACTCAGCACGTTGGAGTGCTACTATTGACCACTTCTTAACTGATATGCATTGTAAACGATCTAGTGTAAACAAAGAATGTCGGGAGAAGCAAGTAGTTATGAATCGTGGAGGGACGTGCAGTTATGGTAGAGCTTCTTTCAAAAATGTAAGTTATATTAATGTTTATTCAGTTATAACATATTTTGTAACGTTTATTCAAGTATAACATATTTTTTAAAGTTAAACAGGATTTAAATAAACTTGAAGTACTTCACCGTGCACATGTCAATAAACAAGGGGAATTTGTTGACTCGTTAGTTGAACAACAATATGAAAGTTATTGTTACTTAAAAATGAATTAGAATGTTGTTTTTTTGTGTTTGTTTTGAAGTATGCTCACAATCTTCGTGAAATGCAAAATGCTTTAGTTGCTGATGTTGCTTTACAAACTCAACATATAGTCGACTCCGGTGGTGATCCGAACTCTATTCATTGGATATTCTTATTTGAGAAGATGTTAGGTGGTTGAAGGGGACATGTGAGAGGCATCGGGCCTAATCCTTCTGTAGCGTCTATACGTGTTCCTTTCCAGTGGCATTCACACTCACAAACACTGCAACTAACATAGGTACTTATTAATTTGTTGTGAATTTTGTTGTTTGGTAGTTTGGTATAGTTTGTTAGTTTCTTTGTTTGTTAAATTGTTATGAATTCAGTAGTTTGTTAAATTGTTAAGAGCTTAATGTGTTTGTCACTTAATTGTTAAGTAGTAATAATTTGTTTATATAGTTAGATATATTTTAACTTATATTCTTACTTTGTATGATGTGGATATTAACGTAATTCTTCAAATCCTGACGTTTGTGACGACAATAAGAGATATTATCTGCTCATTTAGCAAGCAAGTCGACAATGCGACCAACAACAACGAGGAAAACGACGATGGGAAAGACGATTAATATATATTGTTTTATGTTATGGATGATGTTTTTATAGATTTATTAGAGCATGGACTAGATCGACTATTGTTTCATGTTTCGACTATTAGTTTGTTAGATTGTTTATGTAATGCGATATACTTTGCGTATGTTATTTGATGTTTTATGTAATGTAGATTTTTTAATTATAACTTTTATATAAATTCTGCATTTTTATAATATAAAATAATATAAAATATAAATTAAAAAAAAAAAAAAAAAAAAAAAAAAAAAAAAAAAAAGACATTAGTGGCGACACCTTTAGGGACAATCTTGAGTAATTAGCAACGACAACTCCCGCCGGAATAATTGGTCGGAGTAACATTGGCCGGTGGCTGGAATATTATTAGGGACGACGCCTTTAGGGACGACTATTGAATATTAGCTATGAGGTACTTACGACGACCCAATTAAAACGACATGTCGTCCCAGATATCTTTAGGGGTGACATTCTTGACTATTTGCGACGTTTTTTTGTCATCCCTAAAGGTGCCTTTTCAGGATATTTTTAAATGGTCGTGCTTAGTAGCTTCATTTTGATGGATATATGTTGGTTATCATGACCAAAGGATGTTAAGATTTTCCAATATAATAAAGTTCACTTATGAGCCACACTAGTAAAAAGTCTACCTCAAACATAATCTTCGTCACACTTATGGACCAATATGATGTAACCAGACCAGTGTGAGGCTGGTGCAAAAGGAATGTTTTAACCACCCACCCAATATGATGCGTTCACATTTACAAACGTCTGTGGTTTTTCTCTTCTGCCAACTTTTTTATGCCATCTTTGAAGTCTTCAATTGGATTTGAATGAGTTTTATGCGTTCATCTTTATCTACAACCAACTTTAACCCTTTATCCTTTTCTTTGTTTCAACTTTATACAGCCAACACCAACCAAAAGGATGTTTTATATGTTTCTCTCGAGATGACATTCCTTTATATCAGTCACATTCTTCCAACTATTCAATTGATAAATTATTGTACCACTTTCGTTTGGTTTAGGACAATATTAAAGAACTGTTATCGATCAATATTAAAGAACTGTGATTAACTATTCACGGGTGTTTGATCATCTAAGCTGCTTAAGCCCCATAGGTATGGGTCATCCCATCAATGTCGATTTTTCTTCACTTCACATGGCACTAGGGATGGCACTCTCCATACCACATCACATTTACTACCAAATACCTACCACAACACCATTTTAATTTCCACTTTCATCTTTATTTTTCATTTTTTTCGGTAATTACAAAAATAAATTACATAATTTCAAATTGAAAATATAACATTTAAATTGAAAATGGTCTCTATGGTTTCTTATTTTATGTTTTTATGATCCAAACATTTGAAAATTTGTAAATTTGGTCATTTTCAACAAGCTTAGTTGTAGTTTTGGTCTCTCTTTGGTTAAGTTTAACTGGTTGGCTGCTAACCTCTTTAAAATGACAATTTTATCCTCGAGGAACATTTTCGTAATTTTATCTTTTACCATACTATAAGAATCATTTTTGCATACATTCTTTTTATTTTATTGATGTATTATATATTAATAAATATTATTTTATTGAATTGTTAATTTATTTTAGTTAATTCTTTTTTATAATTTTTTGTTAGAGTAATTTATTTTTTATTGAATTATTATATATAAATACATATAGTTATTTATATATAATATTTATATCGTTATAAATATTATATTATTAGATTATTAATATCTATTACTTAATTTTAGTAATTTTTTTTTATTTTTTATTGGATTATTACTATTAATTTATTATTTTCTTCATATACTAAATATTAGATTACTGAATCATTAGTTTATTTTTAATGTATAATATTATTTCTTGTTAATTTTTTTGGTTTCACCACAAAGTTGTGGGATACACTAAATCATCGTCTCTCATCATTGAAATCGTCAGGATTACTGTCAAACACATTTATTGAATGTAGCTTATAGTCAGAAACTATATGAAAAACATCACCACCTTCACTTATAACTGTTACAGGGGTTTGTTGCGTATTATCTTAGATATGAAGGATTACACTGGATTATGAAGAGATTGTCATAGGTGGCTATTAGCGATGTTGGGTGGAACATGTTTGTGGGATTTCTGTTGAATCTCCAATAAAGGTGTTTGGCAGTGATACCACCGATTTTTGACAATGAGAAACAACGCTTTTTGCGTATTTTGGAAACATTGTGGTGAAACTAATAAAATTAAAAAGAAAATTAATACTATACATTAAAATTGAATTAGTAATCCAATACAATAATATTTGTTATATGAAAAAAAAGCAATAAATTAAGAGTAATAATTCAATAAATAATAATTCAAAAAATACAAAAATTAACAGAAAGAAATTAATAATCCATTGTAATATTTTTTATGATATATATATATATATATATATATATATATATATATATATATATATATATATATATATTAAAAATAATATTTATGGTATATAATAATTCAATAAAAAAAGAATTACTCCAACAAAAACAAATTATAAAAAGAATCAACTAAAAGAAATTAATAATCCAATAAAACAATATTTTGTAATATATAATAATCCAATCATATAATATTTATTATGATATAAATATTATATATTAAAAACTATATGCATTGATATATAATAATTCAATAAAAAAGAATTACTCCAACTAAAAAATTTAAAAATAAATAAATTAATAATCCAATGATACGATACTAGATTATAGTCTGCGTTAAATGCGGAAAACACATAAAAAGCATATAATCGTTTACAAATATAAAAAAATATATATATATGGTTATTGTATTTTTGAAATGTGTAGAAAATACATTGAAAACGATAAATATATATAATCATTGAAGGACCTCTTTGTAAACAATATTTTTTGTTTTATTAGTTGAACGACATTCTTCGTCTCATATAGTTATGATATTGTTATATAATTATAAGCATTTTAATTAGACATTCATTCCATAATAATGTTACCTAATTTAAACATATATTGACAACCAATATACCGTTTTTTCTACTGCATTAAATATTGACAACAATTTTATTTATTCAAGACTAAACTGCACAAATGATCCCTGTGTTTTGCTGAAAATTGCCACTTTGGTCCAAAAATGTTTGGACTAGCACCACAGATCCAAAGTTTTCATTTTATTGCGAGTTTGGTCCAATTTACTTTAAACTTTTTTGAAATGAAGATTTTACCCTTCTTTTTTGTTTTTCAGTTTATTTATTTATTTATATATTTTTATGATTAAAAAATTAATAAAATTTATCCCCCCCCTCTCTCTCTCTCTCTTAAAAAATTAATAAAAAATTACCTCTCTCTCTCTCTCTCTCTCTACAAATACAAAACACTCAAGAACACACATTGAAACTTAGGAACACATATTCATATTCATGAACACATACACAAACACTCCATATTTTTTAGTTTATTCTCCAAACACGCACACTCAAGAAAACATACACTAAATCAGATCTGTTGAAGGGTTTTCTAATGAACACATTCAAGAAAACGAAATCAGATCGAGTAATGGGTCTTTGATCTCATCCTTTGACGACGATCTCCTCCTCCTCTTCCACCTGTTAAAAGAAGCCCTAGCATGAAACTCTACCACCCGGTGATCGTTAACAACCATAACGAATCAAGATCTAGTAAGGGGTCGAAGGAGGCAGCAGCTAGGGTTTAGACGTGTTCCCTCCTCGTCACCGTTCTCATTGTAGATCTATCCAACCATCGTGTTTCTGCTTGTCGCCCCGCATCTCTGAAATGAATCTATAACAGGTTAGGGTTTGTAAGGCGATCTGAAACCCTAGTAATGGCGGCACTGGACTCAACCTAATTGACTGAGGTGTGGCGACCACCACCTCTTTACGAACCCTTCTCAGATCATACACCGATGAAGGTTTGGTGCTGATTTTTGAAACCCTAGCTATTCAGATCTGTTGTGGTGTTTGTGTGTGTATGTGTGTTTAATCTCTCGTTTGTCTTGTTCAAGTTTGTGTGTGTGTTTAATCTCTGTGTGTGTGTGTGTTTGTGTTGTATCTGTTGAAAAATCGATGAATGTTTGTGTTGATCTGTGTTTGCTCATCAGATTTCATTTTTATGTGTGTGTGTGTGTTCATCTGATTTCATTTAGGTGGAGATGGATATGGCAAATTGTGGTTGTGGCAGACGATGGTCAAACAATGGTGGTGGAGGACGACGGTCGAATGGTGGTGGTGACGGAAGATATTCTTCAGTGTTCTTGAAGAAGAAGAAGAAGATGAGTGAGAAAGAGAGAGAGAGAGAGAGAGAGAGAGAGAGAGAGAGAGAGAAAGAAAGAAAGAGAGAGAGAGAGAGAGAGATAGTATTTTCTTTTTTCTTTTATTTTTAATTCTTTTTAATTGTTATAATAAAAGAAAATTAAAATATTAAATAATCAGGGGCAAAATCGTCTTTATAAAAAAGTTCAAACAAAATCGGACCAATTTCGCAACAAAATGAAAAATTTGGACCTCTGGTGCTAGTCCAAACATTTTTGGACCAAAGTAGCAATTTTAAGCTAACCACAGGGACCATTTGTGCAGTTTTGTCTTTATTGAAATAAAGTTATATAATATAATTTATAGAATGTTAAATGTTATATGGATTAAACTTTAGTATATCATCAATGAAGATTATTTTCTAAATCATGATTGGTTTATTTTAAATTGATTATGAATATAAGTACTAGCTTTTATGTTTGTTCTTATTTATTTGGTATTCATAAGAACTTTGCATTAGTTTTGATGCAACATTGAATAATTTTAGTATATCATCAATGTAATTTGATATATCTCTCAATTATATAAAATATCAAATAATGACATTTCATTACTATTGTGATAATTTAGTGTATATATATTGTATTTTTAGTAATCTTAACGGTCTTATTTTTTCTAATAACCGTAACGCTTTTACTAATTGTATTTTTTACAAATCTCCTAATATCTTATAATTTTTATCTTACTTTAAATTCACTACTAGAAAAAACGCCTTTTACGACGCTCATTGCGCGTCGTAAAACGCTCAGACGACGCGCAAATGCACGTCAAGGAAGGCCCTGTCATAACGAGAGACGACGCACATTTACGACGCGCATTTATGACATGCAATGCGTATCATTAAAGCCGCTGTCAAGAAAGGCCATGTCATAAATGAAGATGACACACATTTTTGCGTATCGTAATTTTTATTTTTATTTTAAAAAAAATATATATTTATAGGTTTACTAATTTTCAAATTAAATTTGCATTTCATGTCTCATAATAGAAAATAAAATACCATATACAAAAAATACAATCCATTGCATAAAAGTTAATGTCATACAAAATAAATAATAAAATACAATAAATAAGAAAGATAATTCATTGCACTAAAATGCAAATACAAATAATCATGGCTAACTACATAACCTAATACTACGTTGCTATTAAGGGATATCATCATAACTTACTGAAGGTCTTGGAACAATGTTCGCATCATCAACTCTTACACCAACCTTGCTTTAGTAGATGACTTTCACACAATCAATATTTTAATAGATGCTGCTCGGGCCACCATAGATGTTGCTCGAATTTACCGAGCTCAAACTTCCTAACCAAAACCCAAAACCAAACAAACACCATATCAGACACAATATTTAAATCAAAAATAAAAATATAACGAATAGAACCTTGAAAAGCATAAAACAAAACTTAAAATTTACATGAATTAAGCTTCCTATATAAGTGCTCCAACCTTGTGTGGGCCCAATTCCTTGAGAATGAGGAAGAAAAATTTGTAAATAGCAATAAATAAATTTTTGGAATTGGAAATTAAATTGTTTGGATAATATCATGAAAATAAATGAAGGATTTCATAAACCAACCTGTTCTCTTGCCAAATTTACCCATCCACCATAAACATAACCAAGGGCAATTCCTGTAGGTATGCACATGTAAAATATTCCCAACCAAGTTGTTCTCTATAAGAAGAAAAAAAAGATAAATATGTTATATTTATATGTAGAAATATTGGGTGATTTGTAGAAAAAGATGGAACCTGAGATAATTTCTTGAAAGATTCATTCATTTATCTCCTTCGATAACTCTATGTATGTCTTGAAACAATGGAATGAAATCAAATGTTTCTAAGTGAGTCGGATTAAAATTTTAAAGATTATTAAACATAACCAGTCGCTAGGAATAACCAACCAACAGAAGAATTTAAAATAGACAAATAATAAGCAAGAGGACTTTAATTAAATAAAGTACATTATTACCAGCTAGCAATTTTGCTTTCACAAACTGCAAAAAGAAAAAAAAAAAAAAAAAAAAAAAAAAAAAAAAAAAAAAAAAAAAAAAAAACTTAAATTTATAGCTCTTGAAATTACTATAATAAACTAATTTATGATTTGTTATTACCTGGCGAAATAGCACCCATGCATAACACGTGTGGTGAATAGTCTCTGTTATTCCCAAGATACGCCACGTTGACTTTAGAAGTTCAAGTATTTCTTCCACTTCCTGCATACATTCATAAAATATAGCTGTTTTTTATGCATCATCATCATATATGCTACTTCCATTTCTTTCTTAAGGCTTGTTAAAGCTACCCAATAATGTTGCCACTTCTTGCATTTAACTCCACTAGTAAATACAACATTAGAAGTTTAATGTTAATCATGCTACCATGGTTTCTAAGGGTACAGGTGGAGGGAGGGAATTTAATCAATTTATAACAAAATCATGCTTAACATTGGATATAAAATTTACATACCTCAGTTAGTTTCCCCTCATCTAAAACATCAAAAATGCTGGAAAGAAGTTTCTCATATAATCTGACATTCAAATGATACCCATCTTCCCAATGACATAATTCACCAGTTAAATTACCACGAGCTGGCCTCTCTGCAAGTGCAATGGCAATCTCCCTCAAAGATCTCAAAAATTCTATGCGTTGAAGTTCACCCACAGAAGGTGCAAATGACTGAAATAAGACAAATTTAAAAAATGATAAAGTAAGAGCAATAGAGCATAGCATATGTAAAAACTAAAAAGATTTCATTTTAACCTCAGATTCTTCAATTCTTGCCAATAGAATCCTCATTTCACTTGCTTTGCGACCAGATTCTCCAAATCCCACAACTAGGTGATTCACAAGTCCTTCCTCCAACATATTCAACTGAACTAACACAACATTGGATCAAACATCTTACATCAATATTAGTTAAAGTTGGAAATTTACTTACACATGCCCATGAATAATATGATAAGGCTACGAAACAAAATCGAGAGAGAAGGTACTGACTTGTCTCTTTTGCCATCTTATGTAAGCTTTTTTGTTAGAAAATTCGGTTTGAGAAACATAGGATAATAACTCGAGAGGAATCAAAAGAGCATCCATTCTTTTCCCCACTTTTCCAGCCATTGCATTGAGTAGCCCTTGTCTTGTTCTAATGTCCATCGCCTCAGAAATCTGTGTTTACAACAATCATTATTATTATCAAGCACAACTTTGTGGGGTCCAGAGTCTACTAATTAATAACATGACATAAGGAAGTAGCATATACTTTATATAACTAATAGTAATATCTGTAATAGAACTCCTATCTGGTAAGAGCAAACCTAAACTCAGTATGGTTTCTAACAGTCCCCATCAATCATGTCCAACATGCAAACAAACCATATATCATACAAGCAAAATAGACTACTATATAAAACAGTGTATATATAAAATAGAAATATAGTCTGTACCTCCATCTGGACACACATTGTCTCCAGTAGGCCAGTCAAACCAGTCGATTGTTGGGATTGATTTGTAACTTGTTCACTCTTACTCCTTCCAATCTTCTTCAACAATTTGGATTTCTTTTCTTTTTTCTTCTCCTTTGATGGCACTATAAGTCCCCTGCATAAACAATCATTACATAATAGTCAAAAGGTAGTTTGGCAGATCTGTAGTCCAGATAGAATCAATCACAGCAAAATGGGAATTCAAAAGAAATGCTAAAATTATGTGTGTGTACAAAATAAAGTTCATGCACAGAGCCAAAGATAAAAAAGAAAGAAAAGATACCCCGAAGCTCCTGCAGCAGCCAGAAGGATTTCATAGGCAGATTCACGAAGATCGTCATCAGTTATACCTGAAGAAATGACCAAACACATAACTTAACACACCAATTTCAGAAGATGATACAATATTTTCATAAAACTTTCCATCATTTGTGTTTACCTGTTGCAAGTGAAGGTAAACCCACAACAAGATCAACAGTATCATTCATTGTTCTCCTTGAATACCAGCGACTATTCAGTTCCTCCAAATGATCATCATCCTCAAAATCATCAATGTCATCAATAGTTAAATTCTGAGCTAGGCCCGAGTTAAAAGATTTTGAGTTGGATATAACTGGTTCATCCTCTTCTGTTGCCTCAAAGGGGAGTGATGTTATGTCTGACATAATGGGTGATGGGGCCACAAAAGGAATAGCTGGTGGAGCCTTCCTTGGAGGTGAACCAGATAATTCAGGATTGGTAGCCAAAAAAAACTCACCTTCAGACCCTGCATTCTTTATTACACAGAAAAAAAACAAATAAATGAATAATAAACAAAAAAGGAAGGTGATGCAATGTTCAATGATTCCTAGTAATAAGTGCCTAGTGATATATCTACTTCCATCCCCTCAAATCTGCAGCAACTACCAGTATGGGATGTCCTTTATTGATAACAATCTTTGTTCTTCAGAAGTTCTATCAGCTAAATTGGCATATTTCTCTATAACACTACAAAAGCATGTGTAATATATATAATGGCCAATACATTTCTTTCAATTAAAAATTTAGGAGGTATATGGATTATGGAAACAATTTTGCATATTGATTCATGATGTATATCCATAAAAAGATTATGTATTTATATGCACATGGGATCAATTGTTATTTCTAACAAGGGCACTTATGACTTATGAGTAATTTCAGTTACACACTAGATAAATACAGTTCCCGTTTTTTTCTATTCACCAAAAAAGATATGCATTATTATATTTAAGATATATAGACATTAATTATTGGATGTATTATGAGATGCAAAGTAAGCTTGTACTAAATCATACCTGTATGCGAAGGACTACATCCAGAAACATCGACGACAAGAGAGCACCTTGATCTAAAAATTGTAAGAGAGAGAGAGAGAGAGAGAGAGAGCATTCAAAAGGAATAAACATGGGAGTTTATTAGAGCGAGAGAGATGAGAGATGAGAGAGAAAGAGAGAAATGGAGGGGAAGAGTAGCTGCAACCCGTAAACTTTACCTCACTATATCTTCGGTTGTGTTGTTGAAGTAGGCCCAGTAAAGTACGTAGTCAATCCAACTTCCTTCCACACAATCTTCTTTTCTCAATCCCAATTTCGGGAAGTTTTTGGTCATTAGAGCCAACCATCTTCTCCCCAAATCACTCAAAACCCTAACCCCTAATTCACTAATTCAACAGTGGGATTAATTTTGTATTTAGGGGAAGCTAGAGAGGAAGAAGATGAATACGAAAGTCAATATGCCAGAGCAGTCAACCATGTTATGTAATTGCTTCACTGTTGGGCCCCATCGTGAGTTGCAGCAGGGCGTTGTCAACGTGAAGAGTCGCAGACCCCCAATCGCCGGTTCTATGGAAGATTTTGTGAGGGACAAGAAGCGGTGATAGAAACTAGGGTTTTTGTTGGAGACGAAAAAGCAAAATAAGAAGCGAGCCTGATTCTTTGGTCGCCGATTTTATTTTATGGAGCAAGAAGAAGATAGCGTCGGGGGAGAAGAAGATAGATCCGACGAAGGTAAAAAATATGGAGCAAGAAGGAACGTGAATGGCCAGTGGTTGTATCTAGGGTTAGAGAGAGAGAGAGAGGATGGAGAGAATGGCTCTGTGCGAGAGATAAGGTGACCCATAGGATCAGAGTGAGAAGCAGGGTATTCAAAATTTTAGAATTTTAGATCCCTCTTTAAAAACGCGCGTTTTGTTAAAAAAATATAAAGCGACATTTGTAGACGACACACACTTAAAATAAGCACCCTCCGTGTTTTTAATTTTGTTTTGTTTAACACTAATCGTAGGGCACGCACAAATGCGTGTCCTCTATCCTTCAAATTTTGGAAAACTGACATCGATTTTTAGGGCACACACAAATGTGTATCCTCTATTAGCGCGTGTCATTGGTTGCGCGTCGTTAAAGGCTGTTTTTCTTGTAGTGATTTTTCATAACTATCTTATTTTCAAGATTAACTGTCTTAATAGCTTTTTGTTTAGTCTATATTCAATTTTATATTTCATTGTACAACATTTCACTTTAAAAATGCTTAATGTTTACACCTTGATATTAATTTTTTTTAATAAAGCCGTGTAATAATTATGGAATATATATATATATATATATATATATATATATATATATATATATATATATATATATCTAATTTTAATTAACATTTACTTCCTTCATTATATCAAATTCCTCATTAAACGAATATATTTTTGGAAAGTAATAATTATAATGGGACAACATTATCTTAAGATGTAATGCTTGAAAGACTTTTGGAGGAAAAAAAATAAGGATCATTAAAAAAAATTATTAATGAAAATACAAATTTAAATTTGGTGAAATTATGGATGAAATTACTAGCGAAAGTTATTTTGAAGGGAGTTGTATTTTGTAAGGTATAATAATATTACAAAATTCGGAGTATATATATTTGTTGTGTAAATTTATAAATTTTATTGTTACTATATACAAATAAAAAAGCAGGTTGATATGATATACAAAAACATAATAATTTTAGTGATATTTTAAAATCATGCCAAAATTAACCGGATTCTTATGACATAAAAATTAAAAAAAAAAATCATAATCATCTCTAGTATATAAAAGTAACATTTTCGTAATTAATTTTAGTTTCCACGATAGTTAATTTTTGTTTTGTTAAAGGTACGTAATATATTTTCCTGTTTATTTGAAAAGTTTCAGAAAAGTAGTTAACTAATTTCATTTAATTTTTGACAAAGAAAATCGAAATATATGAATAAATACTTTTGATATAGGAACAAAAAAATAATCGAAAAAAATATAAAAAGAGAAATAAGGTACTTAGCTTCTAATGCACAATAGCGAATGTTTGAAGCAGAGAATGGTGATGGAAGTTATAAGTAATAATAATGATGTTGTAGGAGAAGGTTTGAAGAAAATAAACGATTGAAAATAAGTGTGAGCCGCGGATTCAATGATGAATTGTATATGTATGTAATAATTTTGTAGCACTCGGTTCCTGGTATGTAATTTATTTTGTTGTATATTTCATTTTTGGCCTGGGACTCGGCGAATTAAAGGCCCAACTCGTCGAGTAGGAGTGGGTTTCGACATGAGACTTAAGTGATGGACTCGTCGAGTCCGCGGCCAGACTTGACAAGTAGGCTCTGACTGGACAAAACCCTAATTTGAGGGTCTGCACCCTATTTAATCATCTCGTTAAGCCACCACTCGTCCCTAATGCTCCCAAAGACCTTCCATAGCAAACCCTAAGTGTTTTGGTGCAAGATCTAAGGCTTTTGAGTGATTTTTGTGGGTTTTGACCTCAAATAAGAAGGAAGAGCGTAGAAGGATCAAGAGGAGGCTGAAGGATTCGAGTTTGGTTCATCATTTGCAGTCTTTGAAAGGTATAAAGTTTGTACCTTGCTTGTTTATTTGTTACATCCATTTTTAGGGAAGATTTAGGGCTTTTAAGCCATATTAGGTAACCAACCATGATTTGCAAACATGGTTGGGGGTTGCTTTTGCACCCGAGGAAGGCCCCATGCAACAAAAGAGCCATTTTTGAGCCTTTTTCGCTCAAAAGTCCAACGCATGCACGTAAATTTCGTAACTTTACGTGCTAGATCGAGCTTAGGGGCTTGGATCTATCATTTGGACAAGTGTTGTACATCAGAAATCGAGGATTTAGGGTGTGGACGTTATCGATTCGATGAGTCCGTTCTTGGGAATCGACGAGTCCAAGGCTTTGAGTCCCAAATCTGTTGAGGGTCAAAAGAACTCAGTTGAGTGTTAGAAGGGTTGTAGCAGGACAGAAGGAGTAACCCAATGCATTGGACTTAGTTTTAGACCTAGAGTTCATGAGACTCGACGAGTTCTAGAACAGACTCAGCGAGTCCAAGGCAATCTTCTAATGTTTGAAGATGAACTCGACGAGTTGTTCATATAACTGGGCGAGTCAAGGTCAGGACTTGTTCATCAGATGAAGGTGAACTCGACGAGTTTTCATACAACACGGCGAGTCTAATGAAGGTTCATTGATGTTGGTAAAGAAGGGGAACTCATCGAGTCGTTGCCAAACTCAACGAGTTAAGTCATGGATAAGAACGAGTAAAGGGTAGGGACTCAACGAGTTGACGACCCAACTCGGCGAGTTGGGTCAACTAGAAGTTGACTTTGTCTTGGACTTGGTTAGGGGTAAAATAGTCATTTTACCCTAAGAGTAGATATCAGATTCCGAATGAGTGTTTTGTAGGGATTATAGCCAAAGGATTTCCGGAGCAGCAGCAGACAGAGGTTTCCCGCATAGATTTTCAGCAGCTACTTGTACGAGGTGAGTTACCTTCCAGTAGGGGTGGGTCTAAGGTTACAATGTCGGCCCAGCAAAGAGGAATAATTAGGAGATGATTGTCTTTGTGATAATTATCTTGGTCTGGTTATGTGCCTTGGTTATGAGATTTATTTGTATGATATGTTATGTGTATAGTAGGGATCAGTTTCTCTGACAACGGTTCTTAGGACCGAAAGGTAGGTCAGTACCCAGATATTCCTGACTGTATGTTTATATCTTGATGTTGCATGCTAGTGGTAGGAGGTGGAATAGTCCCCAATTACCGGTTGAAAGATACCGATGACAGTTACCGATTGAAAGATACCGATGATGATTACCGGTTGAAAGATACCGATGATGATTACCAGTTGAAAGATATCGATGACGATTACCGGTTGAAAGATATTGATAGAAGTTACCGGTTGAAAGATACCGATGATATTGTATGGTATGTGGTATGATAGGGGAACTCACTAAGCTTTGTTCTTACGGTTTCTATTTTGGTTCCAGGTACCTCTTCGTCTAAGGGGAAGGAGCTGCCGGCGTAACATCACATCACACACACACACATGATTCCGCATCGGATTATCTAGGATTGCACTCTGATTTTCATTATTTTGATGTCATGGTTTGGAACACAATATTATTTTTTTTTGTAATGTGTTGATTTACTGAAAATGTTATGGTAAAAAATTTTAAAAATTATTAATTCAAAAATGAAATTTTCGGGCTCGAATTTTGGGATGTTACAAATTGGTATCAGATCCCTGGTTTGAGGGACTCGGACACACCCTCGGGGGTTTCTGGACTCAAACTGAGGGACTAAAATATTTTTACAAGGAAAATGGTTTTCTAAAATTTAAAAGGGAAGAATTTTTAGAAAGACGAAGTGTGTGATGCATGCGACCGGCCGGACTTAAGTAAGTTTTCCCCAAGATACCCATATTTGCTATGTTATGTTATATGGTTTTGATTCAGAAAATTGCATGCTAGAATAGGACTAAGGATATAGGAGGATGCCTTGTGTGCCTGATGTATAATTCTAAGAATTGCATGCTAGTTAGGGCTAAGGGTCTAGGGAGGATGCCTTGTATGCCTATTGTATGAGTTATATGCAATGACTGTTTAGTCAACAGTAGGATGGCCTGTGTAGGTTATGCCTGATTTGGTTACCCAATGCACGAATGCTGCTTGCTTTGTGCTATGGGGATTCTGGCCATCTTCAACTAGCTAAGGAACGGATATGTAACAGTATCCGCAAGCTAGTTAGGGGGAGGTGGTAGGGACTCCCTGTGCAGCTGGTGGAGGAGGGTAGGTCAGAGAGTTCCCTAGGGAAGCCTAGGATGAGGTCAGTGGAAAGCGTATCGGTAAAAGGGACTTGGTGAAGTCGAAGCAATCCTTGAGGAAAGTACGGGTAGATGTGGAAGGCAGTATGGGTCCGTACTACTGAAAGCAGAATCAAGGAGGTCCTAGATGGAACCTGGAAACTTGGAAAGTGTTTGAGACCTATAAAAAGTATATGTGA